TGCATGCGGATGAACTTGAGTATGAATTTGGGTTTTTTCTCTCTTGACAACCACTTAGATACTCCTTTTATTCATGCCAGGATGCTTTCACAGTTCATTTACTGCACTCCCCCGCATCTTATGCTTAAAAACATCTTTGAAAGAACATGGCGGAATCCTGAACATAATCCTATTTACTCTTGAAATATCCTTCTGGCAAAAATAGTTACGCTTTCAGGTGGTATCTTGAACAAATCTTGCCGAGATCCTGTCAGATCATCCTAGGATTTCTGAAGGAAAGAACAGGTTAGAGCTCTGAAAGCTCTGGGTTTTACCAACAGAAAGACATCAATAAAAATCCGCAGCATAATGTTTTCTCTTGAATGCTTTTTTGATGTGCGCTATTTTAAGGACGAACATACTTCAGAGGCTATTTCAAATAATTTTTTTCAGTCATTTCTTCAACCACTGAATAGCCACAACTGAATAGACCTGATTGATACTAAATCACTCAGTTCGTTGCAGCGGCCTCAAATGTTCTTTTCGAAAACTTTCTCTTCAGCGGCTAGCCGTCCCCATGTTATAATGTACCTCGTCGACAGGTCCTCATTTTCTGCAGATAATCTTCATGATTTTGACTTCGCTTATTTGAAAACACTGTTTCCCTTAAAAGCTGAATAGATATCGCCCAATAGAACCTACCCAACGATCTGATCAAGAGCCCAATTTTTTCATTGTTCTGTTTGTCTTAAACACCGTCATGGTCGAAAAAAGCTGAACTTCAGAAAGCTGGTCTATGGGTCTGAGGCATGTGAAGCACTGTTTCGAAAAGATTTCTATTCAGCGACTAGTCGTTTGTCGGCGCCTCGTAAGGGCGCCATTCACGGCTAGTCACGACCATGCTTTGGTGTACTGTGCGAACAGGTCATCATCAGATACACACTATCTATCCGATTCTCGTTTCCCTTTATGCCAAAAAAATATATACGCTTAACAACAGAAAAATTTACGGTAGAAGTTCTAAGCACAAGGATTTACTGTGAACGATTCCAATTTCACTTAAATGAACCTTCCGCAGAACTTCAGACCCTATCGAAGCTTTATATGTACCAAACTTGAGCTAAATCGTCTCAAATGACTCTCCGATTTTGCGCCTATCGTTTTTGAAGCGAATTCCAAATGTATTTCCGATATGTACAAATGGTTATACAGCAAAATTCTCTGTTGGCAGTGATCTTAGCTGTGCCCATGTTTTAATTAATTTTTTTGCTGAATAACTACTTGTCAAATCTATTAGAGAAGTACTAAAGTCACAATGTGAAAAGGGAAACGATACAAACTTTGAAGCAAGAAACTTCTAGATTGCTCACCTTATATCTGAAAGTGTAAGCAATGCAATTAGACACAACGAACATTTAACAAAAGAATTACAAAATTAAATGTGAAAAGGTACTATCTGACGGCGCAAGGTGTAGCTACGGCAGCCTACGCGCTTAACCCTCTTGCAGAGATTAGAAAGCCTGAAACAAGATATTCTAACCTACTCTTGAAAACTTTCAGCACGGTTTTCTAACATTCATGGAAAATTTGCGAAGTTTTGATTCATATACGAGAAAATTTCTAACGAACTATATCTGGCTTCAAAAACTATCTAGAATGAAAGAACTCAACAGATTAGATACGATTCCTCAAAACGTTCGGAAACCGTATCCATTACTATTTAAAGAGCTGTATTTTCCCAGCCTCAATCCCTTTTGCAATATTCTAAACCCCTCCCCATAATAGAAGCCCCTCCCATATTAGAAGCCTCCCCGTATTAGAAGCCCCGTCCGGAAGGATCGATATGAAAAATGTATTAGAAGCCCCCCTGATATTAAAAAGCTTTTCGAAATTTTTATTGGTATTTTCATTGTAAAACTTTCAAAATTCAAGGTTTTAAGGTAAGAATTTGCTTGATTTTCTTATATACCAGCATCAAAATTTTAAAATCTCCTGGAAACTCGTTTGAACAAGTCTTAAAAACCCTAGAAATCCCTGAAGTCCTTTGAAATTTTTTTCAGCTAAAATTATTGAAAAATTTTAGGTCTTAATAGAAGCCCCCTCCGAAAATTTTGGATGATAAACAGTTTAGAAGCCCCCGGGGGGCTTCTATTATGGGGAGGGGTTTACGCGTCAGGAACTGATCAGCCGCTGCAGCGAATTATACTTCAACTCATTATGATTTCATACAGTTCGGATGTTTTCATGAAGCATATACGAATCATATCACAAAAGAAAACACTATTCCTATCCTAATAAATGACTTTCTATCAACAATTTCGAAAACAAACTAATCACGGATTCTAGTTCCAGGACCCCGATTCCCTTTGGTCAAACTTTAAACCTATCTTCCATGGAAGGGGTCAAAAAAGCAGTTTTTCGTTCTGTGCGAACGAATGAACGAAGGAACTAACAAACGTACCGAACTCGTTTTTCGCCATATCCTCCTTCCAGTAGAGGAAACTTAAGCACTAGCATGTATCACAACCTTCATAGCTCACCAGTGAAGCTGCAAAGTAGGAAAAGAGCGTTTAGAACTGAGAATCCTAGTAACCAACTAAAATGCATGAATATATCAATCAATAGGTGTCCACATCACCAGAAGTCTCGAGTGTGAAGTGCTCGATCAATACAATATCAAACTGTTCGAATCGCTAAACTTTCCTAACATATCCGTCGAACTGCGCTCGACCGAAACCGAGACGCTCAAAATCTGATTGACCGACTCGCTCACATCGAATTCATCTGATTACCCGAGATCTCGACCCTCGAAATCCTATTCATTGAGTGCCTAACCTCGAAATGATCCGATTAGGCGATATCCCGACCCTCGAAATCCTATTGGTTGGCTCCCCCATCGTGAATCCATCTGACTAGCCGAAGTCCCAATCTACGAATCCTATTAGTCGAGACCCGAACCTGCAACACACCTCTTTGGCCGAAACCGTGGATCTCGAACTCTGATTGGCTAGTAAGGGTGACTGGGTACCTTAAAGGATCTCAATGCTCTCTGCTGGAGTTGGCTAGAAATTGATCTTGGAAAAGGTCACAACAAGATTTTTTCATTCTGTGCGAACGAACGAACTAACAAACGTACCTAACTCGTTTTTCTCTATACCTTCCTTTCAATAGAGGGAACAACACACTGGTTAATAGAAGTATTGAAGTAGTTTGAAAATGTCGAGAAATATCTTCGATACTGCCTTACGGTACGGTAGCGTACAGTGAAGCCAAAATCGTTTCGTTTTCTTCCCTTTCTCATTGAATTAAGTTGTACATACTGGTATACCCACATCAAACAAATATCCATGCCAGTGTACGTACTCACATCTAACATATGAAAACGACATCTTCTATCGACTTGCCCAGTCTCCAGATTGATTTGGAATCTCAGATGAATCGGTATATTGAGTTGTGTCCCATGACCAGAATATCGATGACGCTAAATACGCATAGTCATATACTAAAGGCATCACGGCATCCATAAACGAACTAACGATTTACATCTAGCCTGAGCATAGTACTCTTTGAGCTCTTCTGGAAGAAGTTTTATGAAACAGCATGTCATCTCTTAGGAATATGTCGATGGACTATGAATATGCCATTTAAAGTGAACTAGTCCGTGTAAAGGTAGTTTCGCATCTCCAGCATCAATGAGTTCCTGAATATGTGACATGATAGAAAAAGGATGGAACCAGGAACAGTGATTATGTGTTCGTATGAGAATAAAATCAGCTGATGCATTAGTCTAAGCTTCTTAAATGTTTCACCTGAAGATCGACATCTCTCTGTAGAAAGGTAAAACGAATGCATATATTGAGTGGTTTCGATGTGATTGTTTGAAGTTAGTATTAGTCATTGAAAAACGAGACTAGGCCTACCTGTATCCTGTCTAATAATGTACTGTTGTGCTGAAGATAACAATGAAATAAATAAAACTCTAATTCAAACTTGAACGTTTATCTTCAATATATATCGTCAATGTCTGTTCAACTTTAAACACAAGAAAAATATATAAAAGCCCAGCACGAATCTGAAACTGATGAAATACCATTAAACGTGTTACTTTTGCAGTATAGAATGTTTTCGAGTGAATGAGAATTCTTATGGTTAGAACAGTATCTATCATAAAAGTTCAAGCACTACAAAGCATTTCATTCCTTAAATAAGTGAAATGAGAGAAAAAAATAGTTAAAATCTATAGGTTCACATTATTTTTGAAACTATATAAAGTCATGTAGTAGAGATTATATTACTACTCATTATAGTTGAATCAGCGATAAAAGACTTGTGAAAAGATCCTAGCTGTTGATATGATTTCGTTAAATTTTTTTTTCTCAATTCTAATCAAAAAATGTGAACGCCTTATAAAGTTTCACATTATGCGGCTGTTTCCTTTTTGTTTTGAATTCTGCGATTTTTGTCGAGATGCTAAAAATAATTTGAGAACATGACACTCAAATGCAGAACTTAAAAGTTTTCAAGATTTAAGATATCGTCAATTATAATTCTTCTTTTTGTATTGAGTTTCAATTCAGTCAATTCAGAAATTAAAATTTCATAAAACTACAAGAATGTTTGAACAAAAATAAACCTATAGAACGTATACCCGTCTACAATTTTATTTTCGAAAGATTTCAACGCATTTCCACAGTTATGTTTGGATGTTTGGCCAATAAGAAGGATTGGAAATTAGCATGTCCCTAGCAATCACTGTTGATTCAACTCTGATAAATCCTTTCTATACGTTTATCCCAAATCAAGTTAGTTGAAGTAGTTTCGATATGAAATTAACTTAATGAAAATCGCGTTAGCCGATTGGTTACTACCAACTCATGAAACATGCACAGTACTCGTTGAATGACGTGTATTTATTTTAGCTAGCAGAAACGGACATCGAAACAAGATGATAAACCATCTAAGTATTCCATCGGATTTATAGTACCATTAAAATATCGTTCACCATGATTGTCAATTAGACGTTAAATAGCAATTGTTTTAGCTTGTTTTGATCTAACACCAAAACCTGCAATAAACTGAACATACATGAGATGAAAACGATTCGCTTCTCCTTGAAGAAATTTTATGAATGACCAAATATTTGGATAATTAACTTGTACTCGACGATTAGAACGGCTATGAAATGCTAATTGAAGCATAAAAAAAATGAAATTTTGAGTTAAAGAAAAGGGAAAAGTTCATCTTCAGCATTACTATTGGTTCTAATTTTGAGACCATATGCACATCATTGTGAAATAAGAAGTTTCATTCTATAAACAATGTTTTTCCTTTAGTTTGAATTTATAAATGAAATAGCTGGAGATTTAACTTCGTTAACATCAATTGAAGATGCAGCAGCTTCTCTCATGACAACAGAATTGTAGGTCTATGGCAGTTCTTCGCTTGTCTCTGTTATTTTATTTTTATAAGATATTAGTCATCACCATTACTACTGGTTAAAATTCTACAATAGTAGAATTATAAGAAAAGCAACAATCAATTATACGCGATTAGAGTTATCATATACTGGAGACATCATTTGTTTCACGTTTTTCTGTGTCGATATTCTTCTATTTCAATATTTACTTTTCGACTTTTTCATTTCGATATTTTTCCTCTTCGACCTTTTTCTAGCACACCGGATAGTCCTGCTCTAACGCTTGTTGCTTCCCCTTAAAAAGTGACCTTGCGTCGTCTATAGTTAAGAGATGTCAAAATTCAGAGAATGACTTGAATTCAACGAAGTAGTTTACACGTCACTCTTTGATTCATGTTCAGTCTCTAACAGTTTTTGATGAAAAATGAAACTTGCGCGAACAAAATCTTGCACATGCCATATTTGCATAAAATTATGCCAACTCACAAATTCTATGATCTTTTGTGAGAATTTGGTTGTTGTTGAAGTTAATGTTGTAGACAGTGTTCAGAATTTTGAAAATAGCAAATGTTGCTGATTTTTGGGAAAGTAAATTCAGTTTTATCGTCATTTAATGTGAACTTCTAGATGTTGTAATGAAATTTTTTAAATCTGTGATACTAACACATGAGATTGAAAATATCCTTTGGATATTAGTAATGTTCTATAGAATTTCATCACAGACTCTTGTGTTGACAAATGTCCGTTGGATCGTTAGTTATATCTTTCATTAGTGTTTTAAACTCAAGAAAATTGTTTTTCTTTTTATGATTTTTTTTAAGAATCGTAGATATCTTCTTATTCTACATCAGAGTTGCACGCACTAGAGTTCTCTATTGCCTAGACCAGCACTATTCATGATACTCGCTGTCCTACATTCTCAAGAGTCATTATGGTAGCATCTATTCACCATAATAAATTGGAATGACACCAATTTCATTCATTTACTATTGAACTCTTTATATCAATATATTCTTTTTATTTCATCAAGTTATTTTTCAGACATGACGGTTTACTTTATATTGAAAGTATTCAAAGTAGAAACGAACCGATAAGATCTTTTCGTCGTTCCAGATGTATCATAATTGCTCTTATTCCCTTGAAATTACTAGTAGTTGATCATATTCAATAAGAGTAAAAGAAGAAGAATATGCCGCATTTGGACTATTTTGCACTATTCATTGTTATCGGAAGATATTTTTGAAAGGCTACTAACTATTGTCTTAAAACTATTAGTAGCTATAGATCTGTATAGAGGGACAACTTAACTCACAGTTCCTTTTCCTTTATCATTTAAACTTCCCATATATACTTCCTAACCACATAGTAGCTACAAATACTTTTTTGTATATGAATCATGTAGTTAGGATTTTATCAGATGGATGATCCCACACATGCAATCACTAATGACTTATATAGGATTGTTCTATATCTGATGCTGTCAAAGTTCAAAAACATTATCTTTTGTATATGTGTTGAACATTTTCATCACTCTGACATAGCCACTAAGGGAGAGTAATCTCACTGTGCTTTGCTACTCTGAGACTCAGTTCTCTTCACCATCTCACAAAATAAAATACAGCTCGTAGTAGCTTGGAATAAAAATGCTTAGCAATTTTTTTTGTATCTAACTAGACAAAATTAATTTTATTTTTTGAACGGGTCACATTGATGACAGAGTAAAAAGTGAAAACACACAAATACATTTATTTCATAGGTATGTCAGTTCTACGAACTTTCGAAATCTTTCAAGATATTTCACAATCGTTTGTTCACTTTAGCTCGTAGCCCATATTTGGATCGCATAGTGAGGCGAATATCAGGAATCATTTTCTGACCAGGTTCCATCTCGAAATCACATCGTTGCACGAGCATTGCTAATATAATTTTGGCTTCAACTAAAGCGAAGTTCTGAGCAATACAATTGCGTGGTCCAGCTCCAAATGGTAAATAACAGTATGGATGAGCAAGTTTTGGCTTTATACCAGTGATAGGATGACGCATCCATCGAGTGTAGTCGAATTCGAGAGATCGAGACCATAAATCAGCATCACGATGAAGTGCATAAGTGTTCAAAATAATAGTTGTTCCTGCAGGAATGCGCAATTGACGCTGACTAGTAGTGACGGTATGCTCACGAACACATTGACGTGAGAAGAAGGGAGCCGAAGGATAAAGTCGAAGTGTTTCTTGTAAAACGGCCTCACAGACAACGAGCTTACTTAAATGTTCGTAGGTGGGTTCGGTGTCGTCAAGAAGTATTCTATCGACTTCCTCTCGACAAGCATGCCACACATCTTTGTTTGTCATTAGCACATACATAGTCCATGTCATCAGATTTGCGGTTGTCTCATGTCCCGAGAATGTAAAAGACAAAGTTAAATCTTTGATTTCTTGCTCTCCAAATGGCTTTCCTTCCTTATCAACAGCAAAAAGAAGAAGATCAAGTAGATCAGCATTTGAACATTGTGCAGTCGATCGACCCTGTCGACGATCGTTAATGACCTGTGTGAGAATTTCAGAAACTTTTCGACATCCGCTGTCCAGGGAAGGTTTACACAAAAATGGTAGTCGAGAAATGAAAGGAATGTGATCAATCAAATGTAATACCCGATATTGTACGGCATCAAGCACTTCAGTAAATCCTTTGGATGCGATCTCTTTGACATTAACCGTAGTTTCAAAGTTCGTACCGAATACAGTTGATACCAGGATTGTTAATGTCAAACGTTGAAATTCATTCTGTAAATCAATAAAATTCTTTCCATTGGATAAAACAAAAAGCTCATCAATGATCCTAGCAGTTTGATTGTTCATAGTCGAGATCATCGATTTTACATTGTCAAAATGAAAAGCTGGGTTAAGCATCTGTCGAGCACGATCATGATACGAGCCATTGGTCATTACTAAATTACGTTCTCCAATTAAATGTTTGAGAGATACGCCGTTGTCCGACGTTCTTATAAAGTCCTGAGCATTGGAATGAGCAAGAACATGAGCAATGATATCCGGTTCCATCACAACAATACGTATCGAAGTACCGAAACCCATTACGTAGATTTTGCCATGTTTTTGAATCAATTCCGTGTGATAGGCCATGAACGCATCGTTGTTTGTAGCAGTATTCATGTCTATAACTTGACCTATGAGAGGAATAAACGGCTCACCTGGTAAACCTTGACTTCGTAATGTATCATAGATATTTTTTTGAGAGCGAATCAACATCCAATATATAACAAACACAAGACATACGATAAGCACTCCACATGCACAGAAAAATATGGTAATCATGTTGTTGGTCCTAGAATAGTGAAAGAATATGGCGACGTGTTATCATGTATTGCTAAAAAGGCTTGCGTTGATGTTTTTTTCCGAAATTTCCATATAAAAAATAGGGGTAAATATAAACTAATACCTAAAAATATAGCAATCTGTATCTAATTTTAAAATAAATCTATATCTAATATAGGATGCTTTTATATCTAATTAAGAAAATAATATATCTAATTTTAAAATTTATTTATATCTAATTTATTAAATAACATTACCTAACAACACAAAGTTATATCTAATTAATAATTAAAGTAATAGAAAAAAATAAAGATACAATTATCAATTATTTACAAAAATAGCACAGCAAAAAGAAGAAAACGATTGCACAATTAATGCTTTTTTAGCTTCAACAGAGTCTATTGAATCTGTTTTATCATTATCTGATAATGCTGCTGCCATTTTTTTAATAGTATATTTTTTTATATTTTTTTAAACTAACTTTTTTCTTATCACTTATCGTCATTCCTAGCTCATATATACTCTTTCAATTAATTGATAAGTACTAATCAATTATAGATTACGTTCAAATCAATTAGATAATTCGATAAATTGATTGATAGTCATTTGTTAAAAGTGATAATATATTAAATTAAAAGATAGAACATTTTTTATTTCAGCAATTTAATTGATTTAAAAGATGTTTAATTAAAAAATTAGATAAAACATCTTCTTTTAGTATCCTTTCACCGGAATAGACACTACTGTATTAAATTAGATATTGATTGCTATAATTTAGATATAGATTGCTATATTTTTAGATATTCCATTAAATGTATGCCTAAAAAATATACATTATGTTTTAGCCAACATGTATTTCCTTCCTCTCCTCGTAAACACTTCCTTCATGAACAATACTTTCTATTACAGAAGTTCTCAAACAGAAGGCAGAAGAAATCAATGTTCAAGGACTAGATTCTGAATATTAAGAGGCTTCGTAAAACACTGCAATATCATTTTGATATGCGTCCCAAACTATGGTCTTTTCCAAAATCATTGTTCACTGATTCAATCCATCGATTTGAATAATCAGCAATCCAAAAATTTTCGATTATACTAGTTGTTTTTTAAAAAAAAGTTAGCTAGTAACGACTTTTAACACTATTCTAATCTCTTGACAGAAGCACAAAAATGTCTTACGAAATGTATGTGAGTTGATATTTTAATGAATCAGCAAAGTTCTTTTCATGGAACTATAGATCAAAAGACACAGAATTTAAAGGTATTACTCTGAAAGACAACTCACATTACCTTACTGTTCATGATATTTGATAGTTACTAATAAAAATAAAAATTTATTAGCAGTTTTAATTAGCATAACATGATAGGAAAAGAATATGTACAGAGTAGTTGAAATCAGCGCAAAAAATTCCTGACAACATCTAGGTTTAAGGGACATTTTTTCATTAGGACAATGGTCAGTTTTTCTACGTACAGTTATATTTGAAATTAACGCTTTTTTGATTTCTCCATTTGTTCCTTTTGTCTGGGAGAAACACTCCTAAAACCTTGAGATTTTCATTCACTGTTTCCGTTCTATCCAAATACTGTGTTCATTTTCCAGTTCTTCTTGTGTTATGCCCATGTAAACTATTAAAAATTTTATTCTAACTAGTAACTATCAAACATCATCAACAATAAGCAGTTGTTAGTCGTCTTTCATACTTGTTTGAAATTTGTTTCGACTACTTTTTACCATTTTGTAGAGAAATGAATGTTGCCAATATGTATCAAAATCAACATGAGATTTTCTGATTCTGAAATTTACCAATAGATCAATTGCTCTATTTATTCGGTGATCAAAAGCATCGGTTTGAAGCACTTTAACTTTTATGAGACATGAATTACTAGACATTATACTGCATTAATGCAATGCATTGTGTTCACATTTAAATTCTCTGCCTTTTGATATATAGTTCCAGGAAAAAAATTTCGCTGATTCATTAAAATGTCAACTCACATGCATTTCGTAAGGCATTTTTGTGTTTCTGTCAAGAGATTAGAATAGTGTTAAAAGTCCTTACTAACTAATTTTTTTTTAAAAAGACAACTAGTATAATCGAAAATTTTTGGATTGCCGATTATTCAAATCGATGGATTGAATCAGTAAATAACGATTTTGGAAAACACTATTCAATGTTCTGCATATTTCATTCGCTCATCGACGGTCTCGTGCTGATAAAGTTGTGCCACATTATTATAATCGATTCCAACGAAACGACAAGCTAGATCTCAGTATGCTTGCCATGCTTACTTCAGAAAAAGTTCGTGAAGACGAGACAAAGACGAAAAACAATCCAAAAAGACATAGCATAAATGTACTTGTTACTTCGATATTCCTCACTGATGCAGAGCATATAAGAATCAAACAGAAGGAAAAGCGAGCACAGAAGTAAATAAAAGAATGGAAAAAATATGTGAAATAATTTTGAATTAGCCACACCGAGAATCGAAAAGCTTTTACATTAGCACAGCTTCACACAGGTATGTACAGGCAATATTTTTTCACGTGAGTTTTAGTTTTCATCAACGATTGACCGGAGAACTAATTCGTTGAAATCCACTCATTCTCTTAATTTTGGCATATCTAAAGTTTCAAACGATGCAATCATTCTTTCAAGATGTTCTTTTCATAAGATGAAATTGATCTATCAACTATCTCAGTTACTTGGAGAAAATAACAATAAATAGGAGAATCTAGAAAAGTGCTTTAAATTTGATTCTCTTCTTCGATGATGCATCAAAGAATACTTGCTATTAACTTCGCCTCTAATAAATAAATAAAGGACGAGAGACATAGAAGAGTCTTTTTCTATGATAAGATCGATTAGCTCAGTTTCAATGTCTGCTTCTGCTGCCTCAAATAAATACACGTCATCGAGTGAGTATTGTGCATGCTGCATTAGTTAGTGGTAACTAATCGGCTGACGCGATTTTCATTAAGTGAATTTCATATCGAAACAAATTCTAATAACTTGATTTGTGACAAACATATACAAAGGATTAATCAGAGTTGAATCTACAGCGATTAATAGGGACATTCTCATTTCCAATCCTTCTTATCGATCAAAGATCCAACTGTGGAAATCCGTTGAAATATTTCCAAAAATTAAACTGTCGAAGGCTATGCGTTCTATAGTTTTACTTTTTGTTCAAAAATTCTTGTAGTTTTATGAAATTTTAATTTCTGAATTGAAACTCGATACAAAAAGAAGAATAATAATTGACGATATCTTAAATCTTGAAACTTTTTTGAGTTCTACATTTGGGTGTCATTTTCGGAAGCTTCTTTCAGCTTCTCGACAAAAATCGCAGAATTCAAAAGAAAAAGAAAAATAGCCAGACACTGAAACTTTACAGGGACGTGCGCATTTCTTGATTAGAACTAGGAATATTTCAACAAATGACGCTAGCCACTAGAACCTTTTAAGGTTCTTTTTTATTGCCGATTTAATTAGAATGAGTTGAAATGTTATCTCTACTAAATGGGCTTACATCAATTGACCGTCCCTACTCTATCCCCAACTAAGTTTATTCACCATGAACAGTCAAGTTTACTTCTCACAATAATTTTTGTGTGCATCTTAATAATGCATTACTTACGTGTGATTGTGAGTGATTGAAAATGAAGGCTTATTTTTACAAGCAAGCTACTTTTATACACTGATGAAAGGATAATGTATTTTCGTGATAGATTTAAGAAATCAATGAGAATATTTCAGTTCCGATTATATATTGGAAAAAAATCAACATACGTAAAACATGACGTCAGGATGTTAGACTACGTAGTTTCGTTTACATCCGTCATATATAGTTGCTTGGAAAGAAAAACATTTATACTCTTCCTTTCTGACGTATATAATCAATGAAAATAGAGCCAGCTTAACAGCATGACGTCATTTTTGTCTATGTTGGTTTTTTCTCATGCCATATAAAAAAGGAAGTAGGCAATATATTTATCTTCGACAATGCCACAATACCGACGTTTTGTGCTGTATAAAAGCCGTTTGATATTATGAGTAAATCATTGACTTTTCGATCGCTTTCGATAACACGTAAGTATTCACCTCTTCAAATCGAAGTATGAGATTTCTTAGGAAGCAAAATTATTGGAGTGGCTGAGGAAGCGAGCGTCTCTTCAATAATCGTAACTGCTTCGTTGAAATGTGGATTCGATCAAGTAGTTTACGATACAGCTGGACCACTTTGATTAATTGCTTTAATGCTAATCATAGCAAGGATGCAGATGTGAGTATCTCTCTATGTCATATGTTAGATACTGCATACAACATTGAGAATTTTTTCAACTAATTATGAGGAAGTCTTTAGGAACACTACAACATTCTAAGTAAAAAATTCATATAGTTTCCACTTAAAGTATGTTACTGGTACAATTACATCAAGTATGCTTACTGACGCACGAATTTATTCAGTACTGTTAGCAAAGTAGGTTTGGTGGTATTGTACCAGTACTAAATACATTTGTACTTACGTTAGTACTTGGGAATGGATCTACCAGTTTCTTATGGCAGGCAGTATGGATGATGTTGTCACATTTACATAGCAGTAGTAAAGAAACTCACAATTGACACCCACACTCATATTCATATCCTATATAATATAGAGAAATTTCTGATTCCTGCATCTAGCCTTATAAGAATTATTCATTAAAAATTACAAAGCCAGAGACTACATCCATTATAGTTTCGTGCATGTGCACG